ATGAAAATGCTGACCTAGAGACCCAGGTCATTTATTATATAGAGGAAGGAAGATAGGTAGACAAGCAAATAGAGTCGTATTTGTCATGACCAGAATATAGAAATGTGTTTTATCATCATCTAGTCATACCGATATGTACCATACACGAATGCATTGGGTGCAGTGTTATCATACATGGATGGATCATATTGTTGCTATATGAATCTTTAACACAACATTTATTTTACAGGTGTCATCTAAAATACGCACCGCACTTCTCTGCCTCAGGAGTCCCCAGGTGAAATTTTCTGCCCTGTGTTAAGCTGGATTATTAAACTGGTCCCTTACAGCCTTTTAATCAATGACTAAGAACAAAAGAACAGCCATATTGAGTCAGACCAAAGATCCATCTATCCCAGTGTCCTGGCTTTTGACTGTGGCCAATGCCAAGTGCCCCAGAGGAAATCTACACAACGCACCCTGATCTGCTAGCACAGTGGTCCCCAACCTTTTGGGGCTGCCGGGTGCACAAGGGTGGGACCGCTTATGGGCTGGGCGCCCAGGGGGGGCCATGCACAGGCCACGCACCCTGGGGTGGGGCCGAACATGCACCGCACGCCCAGGGCTGGCACCGGCATGTGCCGCAAACCCGGGACAGGGGCCACCCATGTGCCACGTGCCCGGGACTTGCTAGGTGGGCGCATTTAAATGCCCTGGTGGGTGCCATGGCACCCACGGGCACTACGTTGGGGACCACTGTGCTAGCATAACCCTCCACACCTGTGCAAAATGCCATGGAAGCCAAGAACCATTTCCCAGACCTGGCATGTGACCTGATGAAGCGAAGCATTGAATGGTCTGTCCAAGTCTTACATAGGAAGCCATTCCTATGAGGAATGTTACTAACAATTAACCAGAGAAAACTCTTGCATACAGCAATGAAGAGACAGTAAAAAAACCCCGAAACCAATCAACCCAAAACCTAAAATGCTGCCCTGAACTGCCAGATGAGAAGAAGGAAACACCCAAATGGACTTTTCTGGAGAGTTGGCATTTTTCAAGTTTAGGGATATTGATAAAATCTGTTAAATTTCCACAAACCAAGGTGAACGATTCATGTGATGTTTCTCGTTCTGAGCTCTGTTTTGGCTTTCAAAATACAAATTTGGAAGCTATGGAAACAGGACGCTAAACAGACTTGAGTCTGGTCAAAAGATATTTCATATTTGGGTTATTTTGCAACCAGAAGATTCTCGTTTCCATTTTCCCAACCGATTTCCAGCAGGTTAAAGAGTCATTGAGATTAAATCAATAAAATGTTTATGAATTTCCCTCACATTCCCCCCCCCCCCCAATTTATCTAACTCTAGTTTTCATTCTTCCTCCAGCTGTGGGAAAAGATGATCTTCTCTACTGTTTTCCTAAAGGCTCCCTTTACCTCTTTGTTCCTCAGAGTATATATTATGGGATTTGACAGAGGTGCCACAGTTATGTTAATTAGGACAATCACTTGATCACTGTCCGGATTGGAACTCGACCTGAGTCCCAGGTAGGTGATAAGGGCCACTCCATAGAACAACGTCACCACCATGAGGTGGGAGGAGCAGGTGGAGAAGGCTTTACGCCTCCCCTCTGCCGATGGCAGCTTGATTATGGTGGAGATAATGCGGATGTAGGACAGGATTATCAATAGAAAAGGACCCAATATGAACACAACTGTCACAGTCAAAACCATGATCTCATTTTTGGATGTGTCGGCACAGGCCATCTTCAACACGGGTGGGATGTCGCAGAAGAAATGGTGGATCTGGTTGGAGCCACAGAAGGGCAGGCTGAAGATCCACGTGGTCTGAGCTACTTCCACTGAGATGCCGATGAACCATGAAGCTCCCATGAGCTGCGCACAAGCCCTTCCACTCATGATGGTCGTATAGTGTAAGGGGTGGCAGATGGCCACGTAGCGGTCATGGGCCATGGCTGCGAGGAGGCAGCATTCTGTGAGGCCCATGATGGTCATGACATACATCTGGGCCGCGCAGCCAGCAAGGGAGATGGTCTTGTCCTTCACCAGGAGGTGAACTAGCAGCTGTGGGAAAATACTGGTGGTGAAGCAGATTCCCAAGAAGGACAGGTTGACCAGGAAGAAATACATGGGGGTGTGGAGGGAGGAGTTGAGCTTTATCAGGAGGATAACAAGCAGGTTCCCTATCAGGATTACCAAGTAGAGGACCAGAAGCACCAGAAACAGAAGGATTTGCAGCTCATGAAGGTAAGAAAACCCCACCAGGATGAACCCATCGGAGATGGTCTGGTTCTCGCCAGGGTTGCTCTCAGAGCTGGTCGTCTGTAGGGTGACAAAGAGAGAGACGATGGAGTTGAATCTAAGTAATATGGAACATGAGCATGTGAACCAATCAATGCACACTGGTTTCCTCTCTGTTCCCACGCGTCTGACTAAAACCTGCTGGCAATTCTGTATAGAAATAGGTTCCAGCACCCAATCAATATCAAGTGCACACTGGTGTTGCTAGATGTCCATGAACTTTGGCCAAGTTGATTCGCTGAAGATATGAACTACCATTGATTTATTACAGATGGCGATCTAATGAACTCATGCTAAGGTCTTGTCCACACTACGGAGATCAATGCCACCACAGTTGATCTTCCTGGGTTCAAATTAGCAGGTCTAGGGAAGACACGCTAATTCGAATTGAGAGGGCACTCGCGTTGGCACTGGTACTCCTGCTCCTCACAAGGACGAAGAGAAATGATGGGATCGTGTGCTTCTTTAGACCTCCCGCTGTGTGAACGGTGCCAAAGCATCATGTAAAATATTTTGACTCCACCTATGTAATTAATGTATCTGGAGTTGCTTGGTCCTGCTGTGAGGGCAGGGGACTGGACTCAATGAACTCACAAGGTCCCTTCCAGTTCTAGTGTTCTGTGATTCTAGGATCTGAAATTAACTTTCTCCTTTAGTGTAGACCAGGCCTAAAGGTGTCACATCAGCTTATAGCAACATAGGGGGTGAATCTAGACTGGCAAGATTTTGTGCAAAAGCATTTGCTTTTGTGCAAAAGCTTCCCAGCAGTCTACACTGGCCGCTTGAATTTGCGCAAGAGCAGTGACCTTGTAATGTACAAAATCAGTGCTTCTTGCGCAAATACTTTCATGCTCCCACTCAGGAAAAAGCTCTTTTGCACAAGAACACTTGCACAAGAGGGCCAGCGTAGACAGGGAAGAACTGTTTTGTGCAAAAAAGCCCCAATGGCTAAAATGGTGACTGAGGCTTTCTTGCGCAAAATCGCACCTAGACTGGCCACGGATGCTTTTGCGCAAAAGCACTTTTTGCACAAAAGCATCTGTGCCAATCTAGACGCGCTTTTGCGGAAATACTTTTAACAGAAAACTTTTCCGTTAATAGTATTTCCGCAAAATCATGCCAGTCTAGATGCAGCCTAGAGGTCTACCAGTTTCCCATATCAAGGACAGTAGTCTTCCTTTTCAAACACATTCTCTTTCTATCTATTTGAAAATTCTTGAAGGGTTCCTTCCTTCCTTTCTTCACACACCTTCAATCAATCCTTCCTTCCTTCCTTCTGATAATCTATAGCCACATTCACAAAATACGATTTCTCAAAGAAGGGCAAATTCTGCCTTCATTTGAATGTTACACAGCACTAAGGCAAGTTTTCCCATGGTAGCAACAACTCATATAAGTAACCGCATCCTTCTGAGCCCAATATGTCTGAAGCCCTTGAAGAATGAGAAGAATCATGAATGTTGACAACAATGAGGGATTTGAGGCATTTTGTGCATCATTACATGTTCGTCGTCCCCTAAATGTTACCGAACCTTTCAAGTCATCCCTCTATCATAGCACTGGTATCTCTCAAGATACGAAAAAGTAGACATAGGGCTAGTTCTTTAGCTGATATAAATCTTAACACCTTAATAGGTATAGACAAACTTCTCCTGGTTTACACTGTTTCCAGGTATTTCTCCTCTGACTTTGATATAGAGAATTTTACAGCAAGGAAGATCTTACAACACAAGAGACATTTTCCACAGAGGTTTTACTTCAAGGTCATTTGCCAAGGGAGAATTTCATGATAACGGGCATGACAGTGAAGTGACAGAGTGAAAACAAAAACTCAGAAACAACCAATATTGTATTTTGACACCTTTAGCTCCTTCAGAGTGGGGCTCCCAATGGAAAGTGTCAAATAATAGTGAGCTACTGAATGGGAACATGGGACCGACAGAGAGAAAATACGTATTAAGCCAGCATTTCCAGACATGGAACCTGAGATCGCCTGCTATCTGAAACCCTGTCAGAACCAAAGGACATTTCTCCTCTAAATGACACACACAACACACACAACACAATCTCACACACACATTCCAATGCAATCAATGCAAGAAAACTAAATAAAACAGTCAAAGAAAACTCTGGTGATGCACCATGCTATGGGTGGTGCATAGAACACTGTAAAACAAAAGGGAATTATGTATCAGAGGGGTAGCCGTGTTAGTCTGAATCTGCAAAAGCGGCGAGGAGTTCTGTGGCACCGTAGCGTGTGTCTAGACTACAGGGTTTTGTCGACAAAAGTGGACTTTTGTCAACAAAACTAAACCTGCGTCTACACTACCACTGAGTTCTGTCAACATAACGTCGACAGAACTCAGCAATTTTGTCGACGCTGGTAAACCTCATTATTGCATCTAAACTGTCCTTTGCGTCCACACTGTTATGTCGACAAAGCAGCTTGCTTTGTCAACAGAACTGAATGTAGTCTAGACGCTCTTTGTCGACAGAAGCTTTGTCGACAGATTCTGTTGACAAAACTTATGTTGATGTAAGCCTGTAGTCTAGACGTACCCTTAGAGACTAACTGAAGTGTTGGAGCATAAGCTTTCGTGGGCAAAGACCCACTTCGTCAGATGCATGTAGTGGAAATTTCCAGAGGCAGGTATAAATATGCAGGCCAGACTCAGGTTAGAGATGACTAGGTGGAAACAGGGAACAATCCTCATTTCGATTCAGTAGCGTCAATATAAAATCGACTGGGAGAGTGAAAGCTGCCATCAGCATCCATGTTCTGTCATGGAAAATATTCACATTTTTCTGAATGGATTTTGGTTTATTTCTTCATCCATTGGCTGACATTTCAACCAGCTCTGAATAAATGGAGAAATTTACTCACCATTAGGAAGTGAGGACTGTCTTGACTCTTGCTGAGGGCAGCCTGGGGATATTTTCAGAGCTCTTCAAAGCCTCAGGTTACTCTATGTATAAACAGAAGCGAGGGATAGAAAGTTAAACTCAATCCATGTAGAGTTGAGGTAAACTCAGGCAAAAGAGATGACATTTACCTGTTGGGGCAGAGAATGTGCCTGGATAGATTGTAGGTGGGGACACCTCTATTAGAAAAGATCAGGCTGAGCGCACCCAGCCGACTGTATTCAGGTCCAAATACAGGACCCACCTCAAGAAACAGCCATTGCCACACAGATTCAACAGATGAGGAGCAGGGTTGAGGAGGCAGGGGTGGTGGGGGGCAGGTAAGTACAGATGAGAGAAGGGAGAAGCAAGAAACACCACCACTACCAGCACAACTACAAAAAAGAAACATCTTATGTGATAAGCACCGGTTTATGACTCCTCTATCATGCTGGGGGGGGGCATAGAATTATGGGAAGTAAACTTCCCCAAGAGTAAATTAGCATAGAACCCCAAATTCAAGACCTCGAGCTGACCCATGATTATTACATGATTTGAATGGAGAATGAGAGTTTCAGAGACCAAGAAATCACTAGATATACTAATGGACAGATAGATCAGACAGATGTACAGTCAGAGAGAGAGAGAGAGAGAGAGAGGGTGTATGGGGATAGACAGACAGACAGAGAGGGTGTATGGGGATAGACAGAGAGAAAGATATGAACACACACAGCCCATGACTTCAGACACACACTAAGGTTTTCTGTTCATGTATGGGAAATTCAGATAAGGAAACCAATGACAGAACCTGACTCCCTTTCGAGAAGGGGGGCCCAATGCCAATCGGTGTCTCTTGGCGAATGGCTGGGGGGTTTCGTTACTGATCCGTGGCCTACCTTGTTTGAGAAGAGCGGCTCCATCTCCTCGCTGCAGGCGCTGGACGTGCTGAAGGGAACAAAGGGGCTTTTATTGCATTCAAGACCTTCTGGGACCTAGTCCCCACAGGACAGGTCTCGTAATTTTCCTCGGAGGAGGAAGCACACGACCTGAAACGTGTCTCGTAATTTTCCTCGGAGGAGGAAGCACATGGCCTGAAACAGCAACAAAGCACAACTCCCCACGGTCTGTCATGTCACAGGGAGTTGTTCCACCAGCACAATTCTCATGTGTGTTTCCTGGATGAAAATCGTGAAGGGATTTACCGAATGCTCAACTGAATGGCATTCTTTTCTTCTAGGAGGAGGAATGATTTGCCCAAGGCAACAAAATACACAGAGTCAGGGGCAGAAGCAAGAACAACCCCCAGGGATCATGGCTTTAAGTCCCTGTGTCTCTGACTGTGTCCCCTTTTAGCTCAGAGCCATGATGTGACTTGACCAATGCTATTGGCAATGCCCCACCATAGGGTCACTGACTGACAAAGCTGGGCCAGAAGGGTTCTGTAGGACGGTCTCAGGCGGGTGGATCCCAATGCCCCAGCCTGGCACTAGGGGGCGCTGAGGGGATGGGCCAGGAGGGCTCAGTAGGACGGTCTTGTGCGGGTGGATCCCAATGACCCGGCCTGGCACTAAGGGGCGGTGAGCAATGGGGCAGGGCTAAACTAAACCAGCCACATGCCATGTTACAAATCTTGCCCATATCATCATCTTAAATAAATCAGCCAATTATACTGAAGAGTCTTGGGGAAATGGGTGCAACCCAAAGACACCCAGAGCAGGAAAAGAAGAAGCAGGTTCAAATCTTCTTGGTTTTGAATTCTGGTAAACAGGTTTGCATTTGAACAAACTGAGGTGAACGTCTTACCAAATGTCTCCTATTTCCAGTTATTTATTTTACTTTGATATATCAAATTCCAAAGCCGTAGAATTGGGACATGACTTTGGCTAAGTGCTCCCCCATTTGATTGAGCAATGACGTTTAAATCTGGTCAGAAGTTTTTATCGTGTTTTCGCACAGAACAGATATTTAAACTATGGGTTCATTTGGCAGCCAAAGAGCCTCATTCCATTTTCCCACCAGGTCTCTGTAGGTGAAACTCATTGAACGGTGAAATTTCTATTGCCAAAGGGCGGGACATTGAGAGATATTCGACAAAATGTTTATGACTTTCCCTCAGTCCTCATGTTCTCAATAACTTTTCCTTCTCCAACATCTCTGGTTGTGAGCAGAGCTGTTCTTTGACATAGTTTTTCTCATGGCTCCCTTCACCTCTTTGTCCTGCAGAGAATATATTATGGGGTTAGACAGTGGAATAACAATTGCGATCATTAGGGCAATTATTTGATCCATCTCTGGGCTGGAGCTCTACTTGAACCCGAGTTAGGTGATAAGAGCCAGTCCATGGAACAAAGTCACCACCATGAGGTGGGAGGAGCAGGTGGAGAAGGCTTTACGCCTCCCCTCTGCCAACAGCAGCTTGAGGATGGTGGAGATAATGAGGATGTAAGACAGGATTATCGATAGAAAAGGGCCCAATATGAACACAACCAACCCAGCGAAGACATGATCTCGTTTTTGGATGTGTCGGTGCAGGCTATCGTCAACACTGGTGAGATGTCGCAGAAGTGGTGGATGTGGTTTGAGCCGCAGAGGGGCAGGCTGAAGAGCCACATGGTCTGAGCTACTTCCACTGAGATGCCGATGAACCATGAAGCTCCCATGAGCTGCGCACATGCCTGGCCACTCATGATGGCCATGTAGTACAAGGGGTGGCAGATGGCTACGTAGCGGTTGTAGGCCATGGCTGCGAGGAGGCAGCATTTTGTGAGGCCCATGGTTGTGAAGATGTACAACTGGGCCATAAAGCCAATAAAGGAGATAGTCTTTTCCTCCACCAGGAAGTGAACCAGCAGCTGTGGCTGCACATGCCTGGCCACTCATGATGGCCATGTAGTACAAGGGGTGGCAGATGGCTACGTAGCGGTTGTAGGCCATGGCTGCGAGGAGGCAGCATTTTGTGAGGCCCATGGTTGTGAAGATGTACAACTGGGCCATAAAGCCCATAAAGGAGATGGTCTTTTCCTCCACCAGGAAGTGAGCTAGCAGCTGTGGGAAAATACTGTTGGTGAAGCAGATTCCCAAGAAGGACAGGTTCAGTAGGAAGAAATACATGGGGATGTGGAGGGACGGTGTGAAGGGAGGGGTTGTGTTTTATCAGGAGGATAACGAGCAGGTTCCCCATCAGGCAAGTAGGTAGAGAACCAGATGTAGCAGAAACAGAAAGATCTGAAGCTCATTAAGATAGGAAACTCATCGGAGACGGTTCGGTTCTCGCCAGGGTCGCTTTCAGAATAGTCTATCTGCAAGTGGGAGAAAGAGACACTGGAGATGAATCTGACATCTGCCAAACCTATGGATGTGAATCAAACCATTCATCCTGGTTTCCTTATTCTTGGGACGCTTGTAACTAAAACCAGCCACCTTTTCGAAGCCCTTTGAGGAATGGGAAGCCTGCAGAAGGATGAAAACAAGAATGTATTTTGGCCTTCTGTGTAATATTAAACGTTATTCTCCCATAAACACTAGTGAATAACTAAACCCATTCCTGCCTCTCTCATCCCCCCATCCAAAATGTTTTGGTTTCCCTCAGTGTACAATAAGGGCACGTCTACACTGCAAAAGTAGAATTAAGCTACGCAACTTCAGCCATGACACTTGTAGATTCTTTTCGCGGGCAGGTGAGTGATATTTCCAGAGCTCTCCAAAGCAGTTGGACTCCCTGTTTAGATACAGGAGAACATGGAAGGAATTAAAGGAGCGAACGTTCCGTGGAGAAGGGGTTGAGGTAAATTCTGCTCCTCTGTGGCGGGATACAATGCATGGACTCTCTTATTGGAAGAGATGAGACCTACTGAGAGGAGTCTATTCCAATCCAAATACAAGACCCACCATAAGAAATCATGTTTCCAGTCACATTCCATGGACAATGAGAGTTGGAGAACAGAGGGCAGGAAGGAAAAGAGGAGGGAGAAGGAGAAAACACGAAAACTGACAGAACACCACAAACAATGACTAGAGTCATGGCATGGTGGTAGCCACATTTGGGGGTCATCTATCACTCTGGTGGGCACCATGAAATTATGGGACCAGAACTTCACCTGGTGTGAACACATGCAACCACCCTGATGAGAAGCTCATAATCTGGCCAATGCTCGGTAAATTGTTTGAATTCAGAATGAGCGATTCAGAGACTAACAGATCGACCGATAGGTGCCTGGTGAGGTGGATTTGACAAAATGGGATGGACAGAGAGAGAGAGAGGGAGAGAGAGGTATGTGAACCCACTCACTCAGCTTGTGTATTTGTACAGGTTCTCTGCTCATGTATGGAAAAATCAAATGATTAAACCTACAACATGAACTTGCTTCAATTGCAGACTTGGCAAAACACCCAGAAACATCACTGATAGAACAGCTGGCAGTTTAAGACATTCATTGATAGTCTGCCTTGTTTGGGAAGAGTCGTTCCATCTACTTGCTGAAGGCAAGACCCGGGTGGACATTTTTTATCTCGTTCCTTGGAGGAAGAACAGCCCGGACTGGAATGACAACAAACCAACAGTCACTAGCTCCGTCATTTCTCAGGAAACTGTGTCAGCATCGCAATTGCCATGTGTGTTTCCAGATGAAAGCTGGAGTGCTACTTACTCTTGTAAAGTGCAGCACCATTTTTCCCATTTAGAAGTAGGAATGGCTTGGCCCAGGCAACACGACGTAGAGCCAAGGGCAGGGGCAGGAACAACCCTCAGAGTTCATGGCTCCCTGATGCCCAGACTCTTATCCCAGAGCTGCATTGAGAACCCAGGAATTCTGACTCTCCCAGCAGCTCTAACCGTTACACCTCACTGCCCTGCCAGAGACCCTGCCCCCCAGAACCAACCTCCTGACCGGCCCAATCCCTGTCATGACCCTCCCACATCTCCAATCCTCTGTCCTGAGCCCCGGCACCTGTGAGTGGTGTTGGGGAGGCAGTGGGTTGCTTTCCTTAGTCCAGGATAGGGGACTTTGACTCTGAGGGCAGGAGAATTCAACTGGGGTCAGTGTATAGAGGAGTAGGGGGAGGTGGCAGGGGTAACCCTGTCTGGCAATGTGGCCGAGGGTTGGGGGTGCGGAGGTTGAGGTAGGGGGGCACTTTCCTGGTCTGGTGGGCAGCAGGGTGGAGAGCCCCATCTGCAGGTGGCCACTGTTTTCTTGCGGCAACTGCCCTGAGGGGTCGCTCTGTAGTGTCGCTGCTCCCTGCACCCGCTGCCCCCCGTGTTGAGTCTGTGCTATGGTGCCTCCTCTCCATACCCCTCGCTTGCCGTGTCCTGGAAACCCATCCCAAAGTGCTCCACTTAGGAAGGAACAATCAGTTCCATACATACAAGATGGGAAGCGACTGTCTAGGAAGGAGCATGGCGGAAAGGGATCTAGGGGTCATAGTGGACCACAAGTTGAATATGAGTCAACAGTGTGATGCTGTTGCAAAAAAAGCAAATATGATTCTAGGTTGTATCAACAGGTGTGTTGTAAGCAAAACTCGTGAAGTCATTCTGCCGCTCTACTCTGCACTAGTTAGGCCTCAGCTGGAGTACTGTGTTCAGTTCTGGGTGCCACATTTCAAGAAAGATGTGGAGAAATTGGAAAGGGTACAGAGAAGAGCGACAAGAATGATTAAAGGTCTAGAGAACATGACCTATGAAGCCAGGCTTCATGAACTGGGCTTGTTTAGTTTGGAAAAAAGAAGATTAAGGGGGGACATGATAGCGGTTTTCAAATATCTAAAAGGGTGTCACAAGGAGGAAGGAGAAAATTTGTTCCTCTTGGTTTCTGAGGACAGGACAAGGAGTAATGGGCTTAAAGTGCAGCAGGGGAGGTTTAGATTGGACATTAGGAAAAAATTCCTAACTGTCAGGGTGGTCAAATATTGGAATAAATTGCCCAGGGAGGTGGTGGAATCTCCCTCTCTGGAGATATTTAAGAACAGGTTAGATAGACATCTGTCAGGGATGGTGTAGATGGAGCTTGGTCCTGCCTTGAGGGCGGGGGGCTAGACTCGATGACCTCTCGAGGTCCCTTCCAGTCCTAGGATTCTATGATTCTATGATCCCATTCCATGCACTTCCCATTGTCCTGCTGCAACCAAACCCCGGCCTTGGTTTAAGTTAGGGTAAGACGAAGATGCCTCCGACAGTTGGTGGCTCCAGCTCTTACTGTTTAAGAGGATTTATTGAAGAAATAGACTCACAGATACACAAATACACAGAGTGAGAGAGATTATAGGGTTATTCAAGGAAAGAGGGTGTATTGTTATGAAACTGCTGACCTAGAGCGACCATCATGAAAATGCTGACCTAGAGACCCAGGGTTTACAATGGGTATTTATTATATAGAGGCAGGAAGATAGGTAGACAAGCAAACAAAGTCATATTTGTCATGACCAGAATATAGAAATGTGTTTTATCATTATATAGTCAGACAGTTATGTACCATACACAAATGCATCACATGCAGTGTTGTCATAGATGGAAGGAACCTATCATTGTGATATGAATCCTTAATACAATATTTATTTTACAGATGTCATCTAAAATTTGCCCCATGTTTCTATGACTCAAGAGTCACCAGGTGAAATTTTCTGCCCTGTGTTAAGCTGGATAATCAGACTGGTCCCTTATGGCCTTTTAATCAATGACTAAGAACATAAGAATTGCCGTATTGGGTCAGACCAAAGATCCATCTAGCCCACGGTCCTGGCTTCTGAATGTGGCCAATGCCAGGTGCTTCAGAGAGAGGCCATATGATGCACCTTTATCTGTTAGCATAAGGCTCCGCACCTGCGCAAAATGCCATGGTAGCAAAAAACAATTTCCCAGAGTTGGGGCATGACCAGATGAGGCATTAAAGGTTTGTCCAATTCTGACATAGGAAGGTGTTCCAAAGTGCTGAGGAACGTTATAAATAGTTAAGCCAGAGAAAGTGCTTAGATAAAGCAATGAAGAGACAGCCCCCAAAAATCCAAACCAGTCAACATCAAACCTAAAATGCTGCCCTGGACAGCCAGATGAGAAGAAGGAAACACCCAAGTGGACTTTTATGTAGAGTTGGCATTTTTCAAGTTTAAAACTGTTGGCAAAAACTGTTAAATTTCCACAGACCATGGTGAACTTTCTATGCGATGTTTCTCATCCTGAGCTCTGTTTTGGCTTTGAAATTACAAATTTGAAAACTATAGAAACAGGACACTACTTCTAATCAATGAACTTTCTATCTGCTCAAAAGATATGTAACATTTGGGTTATTTTGGAACCAGAAGTTTCTCGTTTCCATTTTCCCAATCACTTTCCAGCAAGTCAAAGGGTAATTGACTCAATAAAAAGTTTATGAATTTACCTCACGTTCCACACTCCCTCCGCCCCGCTTTAACTAATGCTACTTTTCATTCCTCCTTCAGCTGCTGGAAAATATATTTTTCTCCATGGTTTTCCTAAAGGCTCCCTTCACCTCCTTGTTCCTCAGAGTGTATATTATGGGATTTGACAGCGGTGTCACAGTTATGTGAATTAGGACAAGAACTTGACCTGTCTCTGGGCTAGAACTTGACCTGAGTCCCAGGTAGGTAATAAGGGCCAGTCCATAGAACAAAGTCACCACAATGAGGTGGGAGGAGCAGGTGGAGAAGGCTTTACGCCTCCCCTCCGCCGACGGCAGCTTGATTATGGTAGAGATAATGAGGACGTAGGACAGGATTATCAATAAAAAAGGACCCAATATGAACAGAAATGACACGGTGAAGACCATGATCTCATTTTTGGATGTGTCAGCACAGGCCATCTTCAGCACGGGTGGGATGTCGCAGAAGAAGTGGTGGACGTGGTTGGAACCACAGAAGGGCAGGCTGAAGATCCATGTGGTTTGAGCTACTTCCACCGAGATGCTGATGAGCCATGACACCCCCGCGAGCTGTGCACATGCCTGGCTGCTCATGATGGTCGTGTAGTGCAAAGGGTGGCAGATGGCTACGTAGCGGTCATAGGCCATGGCCGCAAGGAGGAGGCATTCTGTGAGGCCCATAATGGTCATGACATACATCTGGGCCGCGCAGCCAGCAAGGGAGATAAACTTTTCCTCCACCAGGAGGTGAACTAGCAGCTGCGGGAAAATACTGGTGGTGAAGCAAATTCCCACGCAGGACAGGTTCACCAGGAAGAAATACATGGGGGTGTGGAGGGAGGGGCTGCGCTTTATCAGGAGGATAACGAGCAGGTTCCCTATCAGGATGGCCAGATAGAGGACCAGAAGCACCAGAAATAGAAGGACTTGTAGCTCGTTCAGGTAGGAAAATCCCACCAGGATGAATCCATTAGAGACAGTCTGATTCTCACCAGGTTTGCTCTCAGAATAGGTTGTCTGTAGGGTGACAAAGAAAGAGATGATGGAGTTGAATCTAAGTAATACGGAACAGGAACATGTGAACCAATCAATCCACACCAATACGGAACAGGAGCATGTGAACCAATCAGTCCACACTGGTTTCCTCTCTGTTCCCACACGTCTTACTAAAACCTGCTGACAATTCTGTATATAAATAGGTAACTGCACCCAATCTATATATCATATGCACACTGGTGTAGAATTTTAGACTTCAAATAAGCTTTGCCAAAGTCAATCTGCTGGAGATATGAACTATCAATGATTTATTACAGATGGGGATCTGATGAACTCACTCAAAGGGCTTTTCCATGCCACGGAGAAAATCCAAGGCTGCCACAGTTGATCTTCCGGGGTTCGAATTAGCAGGCCTAGGGAAGACATGCTAATTTGAACTGAGAGGGCACGCCTGTTGGTGCCAGTATTCCTGCTCCTCATGAGGAGGAAGGGAATCGATGGGAGTGTGTGCTCCCCAAGATCTGCTGTGTGAATGGCACCAAAACAAGATTTAAGATATTTCGACTCCAGCTATGTAATTAACGTATCTGGAGTTGTTTTGTCCTGCTGGGAGGGCAGGGGACTGGATTCAATGAACGCTCAAGGTCCCTTCCAGTTCTAGTGTTCTATGATCTTAAGTTGACTTTTTCCTGTAGTGTAGACCAGGCCTAAGGGAATTATATCCACTTATACCAATGATAGAGGTCCACCAGTTTCCCATATCAAGGGTTGTATTCATGCTCCTCAAACACATTTTCCTTCTGTCTACATGAAAATCTTTTCCTTTCCTTTCCTTTCGATAATGTATAGTCACATTCACAACACAGGAGACATTTTCTACAAAGAAAGTATTACTTCAAGGTCATTTGCCAAGGAAGAATTTCATAATAACGGGCATGACAGTGAAGTGACAGCATTGAAACAAAAATCAGCAACAACAAATATTGTATTTTGGACACCTTCAGCTCCTTCAGTGTGGGGCTCCCAATGCAAAGCATCAACTAATATTGAGCTACTGAGTGGGAACATGGGAATAATGGAGAGAAAATACATATTAAGCCAGCATTTCCAGACATGGAACCTGAGATCGCCTGCTATCTGAAACCCTGTCAGAACCAAAGGACATTTCTTCTCTCAATCTCAATCTCAAACACACACACACACACACACACACACACACACACACACACACACACACTCCAATACGATCAAAGCAAAAAACCTACATGAAACAGTCAAAGCGAACTCTGCAGATGCAGCTTGCAAAGTGTGGTGTATAGAACAAAGGAAAACAAAAGGGAATTATGTAACTCCAGAGACCAGCAGAAGGGGTGTGAATTCTTCTTCCCCTCAGAAGAGCTCCTTTGAGGACCCCTTATTGACATTTGTGAACACTTTTCTCAACATGACCAGTGAAGTGAAGAGCTGTCCAGGAAACAGAATTTCCACTCACAAGCTCCAATATCTGTTTCCACCCTGAAGCGCTGTGCAAAGCGGAAACAGGGAACAACCCTCATTTTGATTCAGTAGTGTCAATAAAAAAATCAACTGGATCAGTGAAAGCTGTCATCAGCATCAATGTTCTCTCATGGAAAATATTCACATTTTTCTGAATGGATTTTGGTTTATTTCTTCATCCGTTGGCTGACATTTCAACCAGCTCTGAATAAATGGAGAAATTTGCTCACCATTAGCATGCGATGACTGTCTTGACTCCAGGGATATTTTCAGAGCTCTTCAAAACCACAGGATACTCTGTGTATGAACAGGAACATGGGACAGGAAGTTAAAAAGCACACATTCTATGGTAAATTCCGGAGATGACATTTAACACTTGGGACAGAGAATGTGCATGGTTGGATTGTAGGTGGGGACACTCCTATTAGAAAAGATCAGACTGAGTGCACCCAGCCGAGTGTCTTCGGGTCCAAATACAGGCCCCAGCTCAAGAAACACCCTTCACGCT